TCTTTGCTTTGCTTATAAAATTATTTAATTCGCACAAAAATTAAAAGTAAATAACAATTTATATTAAAAAAAAAATTTATTCGATAAACATATTTACTTATAAATAGATTACTTTATACATTCCGAAGTTCAGATATTTACCGCTGCAGCATCTAGTGACTCAAATTTATATACTTCCAAAAGATCATTTGAATTAGATTCTGCGGCAGTAATCACCAGAACTTCGGGTCTGCCCTGGTAATTGCTACATCCAAATAATATGAAAAGTTATTAAAACTTTGTATTGTACTGAATAATTTTTTAAAAAACACAGTACTGTACACTTTTTATTTATATATCCTACATATTATATAATAAGAGGTGTACTGTCTGTATGTACAATTAAATAAAAAGTACAGTACGAAATTTCTATACTCCCATAATTATTAAAATTTTCAACTAATTTGCCTAATAGAACCAACACAATATAATATATATTTTCGAATCTACGTAATAACTTATCTTTCAATTTGATTTATTTATTTTTCAGTTCTAAAATTGATTCTTTTATATTCATAGTCTCCTTAAGGATCTGATTCTGCATTTCCTTCAGTTCCTTCTGAATTACTCTAAGATTAGGTAGTTCTTTAACAGCTCCCTCAATATTCTTAAGAGAGGGTTGTTCTTCTGGAAGCAGAAGAACTTCATTAAGAGCCTTGGAAATATAAGGTTTTTTATAGCCTGTCCATTTATCTTTTTGGGTATATATTACATGTTCTCGAAGATTGATTATATGGCATTCATAAAAACTTTAAATAAATTATGAGTAATTGGAAAAAAGATTACTTTTATATGCAATTAAAACTTACGTAATAAATGGAAACCAATTTTCTTTTCTTCGTTGATGAGGTAACATATATAATAATTCAATTTCTTCTAATATCTATATAATCGATATAATAAAAAGTCTTAAAATTTACATATAGATAGAATATAATTTATAAATGGCATACTTCAGCTCTTAGAATTAAATATGACTCTCTTGTTTTAGTTTCACTTATTTCGTTACTTAGTAATCCGATAAACAAATTCATTAAGTAAATCGTTGAAACAAAAGAAAATATGATTGTTAAGATAAGTAAAGTGGGGTGGTTATCCAAATCCCAGTAAGTAATTGGTGTCGTGTCACCTAAAGTCAGTACATTAATGTTATAAATAAAAAGCTTGCTGTTTATAGTGACTTTTATAAAAAAAATAACAATAATCTGAATTTTACCTGTTAGCATAATATAAACAGCAGCAATTGCTGAACCCATCAACATAAACATATTTGTAGTAGCAGTAGGAGGTTCAATAAGTGAGGAGTTTTCTTCAATCGTACCATTAGGGTCTATAGTGTTATAAGTTGTAGCTAAATTCCACGGATCATTTGGATCAGTGGAATAGCTTGGATAATCTAAAGATACATCAATGGAAGGGCGCAGTAAAATGTGTAATGAATGTGCAAAGGCAACTATAATAAAACCTAATATTATCAAAAACGAAAATCCCCTTTGAGCTACTCCAAGTATCATAGAGAAGTAATCACCAGAAAATTCAATCGCACGAAAATATAAAAGAAACTTGATTTCCAATAATAAAGTAGAAAATGTAGCCCATTCTGTCGGCATGGCATTATTTTGAAGCCATATAAATGATGATATCATTGGCAATAAAAATGCACCTAAATCTTTGAAAAAAATAATGGATATTAGTCATAGAATGAATAAAATTATTCTATATATTAAAGTTCATAAAAGTTTTAATACCAAAAAAATTCCAAGCACTAGACATGTAGGTCAATGGTGAGAAAATAAATTGGCGAAATTCAAAAATTAAATGCCAAATCCCAAGACAAATAGTTATATATAGGAGAATGAATAAATTAGACTGAGAAATATTTTTATAAAATGTCGCAGCAATTACGAAACTTCCAAGAAAAACAGTATAAATTGCCCAAGCTGCCAAATAATATTTTCTTCCATAAGTATTCCATTTAAATTTAAGTAATGCTTCTCCATTTAAATATCTATAAAATTCTTCATTTATCACTTCAACCTTATTTGAATATGCAAAAGGATTGGGACTAGGTTTCAATAATTCTTTCCAAAAATTATATTTTTTTGGGTAAGAAGCAAAATTTGGTAAAGGAATTGCAAGTATTGTTGTACTATGGCCTACATCGTAAAAATCGATAACTGGTTTTACAATTAAATCTTGAAAAGGAATTACAATTAAATTTTGAAAAGGAGGATGACTTTCTTGAAATTTTTGAAAATTAATTTGAAAACTTTTTTGAAAATTAATCCAATGATCCCAGAGAATAGAAGTTAATATATCAAGAAATGATGTGTTATATAAATGATAGTATTTCCCATAACTGGAAAGATGTGAAGAAGTAGATTTTGAATTTACTTTAGTAGAAGGAACTACAAATCCTATCTTAGATAAAGTACTTGATATAAATGCAGGATGATTTTCTGATAACTCATTAAAGTTATCAAAAATAATACTCAATAAAGAAATTTTAGAAATCAAATGATTATTTTCTTGCACACACTTATCGACGCATTCACCACCTAAAATTCGAATCCATTTATCCTCCTTTAGTTCAATGAGTGCTTTCATGAGATTGTTTCCATAGCAAGTTAAATAAAATTCATTAGAGATATTTTCTTTCAAAAATTCTTTGAAAAGATCTTTTTCACCAAATTTAACATGCAAATTATAGAGGATTGTTTTGTAACTTGAGGCAGGAAGGATTCGTCCTGAGGTCCAGTTTTCAGCGAGAAATTCAAGTTTTATCTTTTCAAAAACGAAATCCTCTAATCGATCATCCCAATCATTCCAATAATAGTGCATTTTAATACCAGAAAGTTTATAAGTCCAGATAAATACACCAATACGTGTAATTGTAATGAAATCATCATTTTCAAGAACTTCGCAATGAACTATAAAACCATTTTCAGTACTAATTGATGGAAGAATATTCAGTTGCTTCTTGCTCGAACTTTTTAAACGATTTGCTGTAAGCTTGACTGAATTATCGCTTAATTCTAAACACCATTTTAAAAGTTTCCCTTCAAATTCTTTTTTGTTAGGGTCATAATTTTTGGCATTTATAATTTTAGTTATAGTATAGAGTGCCGACGGTGCTGTAATGCTATTTGTGTCTTTCAGTTCTTTTCGTAAGTAATTGACCCAATCATCATACACCAAATTTTCAATTAACACTTCTCCATCAGTCGTATAAATTAGTTTATCTGATTGAATTAAGTATGGTTCTTGAAGTTCTTGAATTTGTATGCGTTCAAAAAGTTTATTTGAATTTATTGGATTTTTGAGGTAATAAGGGTCCACTACATTAGATCGCTTTTCTGACAAGTTGATAAATAGTAATCTTTCTCCTTTTTGGGAAGCGATCAAATGAATTTTATCTATTGCATTCTTTGTTGAAACTAAAAATAAAAGATAAGAATTATAAAAAAATTTATATGATCAGTTATCATCTTTATGCAGAAACTTACAGGACGACAGGTTTATCCCCGTTTCAGCAGAAAAAACGTATAAGTACGCTTCTTTAACTTTCTTATTTTCTGTACACACTGATATTAGTTCTTCATCATCACTAATTTCAATATGTCGGAGTACATGATGCCATTCTATAAAAATACGAGTTTTAACCGATAATTTTTCAATGTCCCACATTGTGATCTCATGAATCGTATCATTAAACATGATTAATTTGCCTTTAGTAGTAATATAAATTTTTTTAAAATATTTCAGCTCAATCATTGATTTACAAGTCCAGGTAATATTATCGTTTTCTTTACTTGAAAATACATATGCTCTATAATATTTAGTATTGACCATTATGATATTTCCGTTATCAACATAGGATAAAAAGTTAATCTCTTTCTGCCAATCTGGAAACGTTAATAATACCTCTTCTTCAGTTTCGAAATCGCAAATTACTTGAAACATGTGCATAAATACAATAAGGCAATTGAATTTACGTATTAAAATAATTAAATTTACTGTATGTATAACTTACTGAAATTATAAGGTTTGCTTCGATTAAGGCTAATTGAAACGTATTTATTATCTGAAACTGCAAATATTCTTTCACCATTTTCATTAGTGCAAATATCACCGATATAAAATGTCTTTACTTTCGTTAAAAGTTGTTCTTGACTAATGAAGGACCAAAGACTAATATTATTACTTTCGTCCAATGCAGCAACATTTTTCAAGTTAGGCGAGCATACAATTTCCAAAATTTTCTTATTTTCTTCTGGTGCTTCTAAAAATCTTTTATTTATATCTGGATCCTCCTCCACTAAAATTTTCACTTGAGAACCATCTGAATTAGATGTCATTTCTAATTAAATATATTTGATAGATTATAATGAAGTTTTTCAAATATTATTTATAACGATAAGAAGGATAAAATTGCTATAAAAAATTTAGACAAATTTTAATTATATTTGAAATTTCTAAAGATTCGAACTAAGCCATAGTTTGTTTGTAAATATTTAAAAATATTTGTGCCAATTTGGTTTTCTTTAGCTTCAGGCTTAAAAATTACTAGCATCTTAACCGTGACTTCGCCACGAGAATTTTGTAAATTTCATAAATTTTAAAATCATAACCGCAAAGTTAGATGCATTTATATATTTGTTAACAAGAAGGACCATCGTATTAATCCAGTGAGATTTTAACCTGAACGAAAAGCATTGCACGCATGTTTCATATAATTGGAACGGTCCGGTCTGATATACCGGAGTTGAATTTTATTTGATGGATGCAGATTAATTAGTTGCGAATTATGCGTTATTGAAATGTTGAAACTGAAACGGGATTGCTCCCGGAAATAGCAAATAATATTGCGCCGGGAGATCACCGAAAGTAGTTGAGTTTGTGCGGCTTAGTGCTGGCCGGTGGTTTCCCGCCTGCATAACGCAGGCCGGCCGTTAATATGAACATGTGATGTGACATTGATATTCAGTAGCTATAATTACAAAATGACAGGTTCATTTAGCTGTGATTTGTGTGCTATTGAAACTGAAACGGGATATGTCCCGGAAATAGCAAATAATATTGCGCCGGGAGATAACCGTAAGCAATTGTTTATGCGGCTTAGGCTGGCTGGTGGTTTCCCGCCTGCATAATGTGGGCCGGCCGTCAGTATGAACATGTGATATTGATATTTGTAGTTGTATATTAGTTGAGTTTGTGCGGCATAACGCTGACCCACCTGCATAATGCAAGCTGGCCGTCAGTAAAAACACGTGATATTGATATTATGAGAATGGCTGAATTCTTTTGGGAGGGAGGGTTGGATCGCGAATTTTGGTCTGTCGCAGTTGAGTGAGCAATCATTGGCATAAGGCCCAATTGCGTATTGCCTTATTGCCGCCTTTATAAAGTCAGTGATTACTTTTTATGGAAAGTCATTCAAGTAAAACTCACAGCCTTTGATTGTCTGGACCGGACTTGTTCTGGTTGATGGTTCCACGACACGCATCACCATGCTTAGCATCTTTTCGATCTGTTGACTTTACGTCAACTCGAATTATAAATATCAGATTACCGAATTTGTATCTTTCTTTGATTTTGCCACAATTTTTAAGAATTAAAGAGAGGGTTTTTCTATCTTCATCTTCAGGGACAGTTAATTTTTTATAGTCGTCAATGCAATCAGTATTTAATTTAAATTTCTTACAATTTGTCCATTTCACTTTTAATAATTGAGATCTAGTATTTCGTACATCAATAATGCTATAAATAATAACCGGTATTAAGTCAATGCAACTCATGTTCTCAAAGTCATTTTCCCGAAAGGATATAAACTGACAAAGTTAGCTAGCAGTGACTACAATGCAGCCGATTTAGTCAGTACTATGTTCTTTTGGGAAAATAGCTTTCAGAAAACTGTACAGTAACTGATACAAATGAAATTATATTAAATGAAAAAACACTTACCCGTATATCATTTTCAAACGTAAATTTTCATTGATATTTTTGTCAGCATTATGATTTTTATCAAGATTATGAATAAATAAGCATGCCATATTTTCAGGAGAAAAATTGGTACCAGTCACAATTTTTGATTCGTATACATTGTAATTACTGGATACCTCAGGACTTTTATTCCTAATTTACAACCGCTACTTGAAGAAGGGTTTATAGAACATCTGTATGAATGATTGTTCTCTATTTCTACTCTTATCATCTTTTCACAATTTCTTTCATTATTTCTTTGTTCAAATATAACCTTTTCCGGATAACCAATAACAATCCAACCAATTTTTATCTTGTACTGTTTCTTTTTACTTGAGTTTTCTCTTCCACCAATATAATGAACGACAAATACGAGAGTGTTTTCATCTAAATATTCATCTCTCAGAATAAAACCGATTATCCGGATTTATTATTGATGCGAAGACCTGGCATTGAATGAACTTGAAGTAACATCTTTAATTTCGGAATTCCAATCTTCTACGTATCACAATTGGACACGTGAAAGATTTCCGTAATTCTGTATAGTGGGTAGTTATCCTAGCTAATTTTTTTTGAATAAAAATCCAAATTATTTCTGATTTATAATTTGTGAAAAACCTATAATCTGGGTTTCAAGTAACCAGTAAATTACAAATTTAAAAACCCGATGACAGGTTTTTCGAGCGCTGCCAAGCGAAACCCTGTTTTCCTGAATTAAGCTCAGAAAGATATAATTG